TTCGTTTTCTTTCTCTGTAGCTGTCATTTCATTCTCCATCATTTCCTTTTCTAATTGTGACTGAGACTCCACCTTCAGTTCTGTATTTTGTTTATTCTTTCTGCCCCTTTGGTTTCCTTTTCCTGTTCTCTGCCGCTTGTATTTTTTCTCTCTGTGGAGAGATCAGAATTAGTGTCAGCAACAGGGCTACAGAATTCAGATAAGTGCTTGGTAATAACAGTCCAGGTATCCCACTGCCTTATTTCATAGCCTTTGAACAAGTCACTTAATCTCTCTGGGCCTCAACCTCCTTGTCTGCCAAATGAAGGAGCAGGGCTAGATGTACTCAATTGTCAGGAGTGGACTGTCCCTCAGGAACTTTGTGTCTCTGATGCCTTGCTCACCAGGAAGTGTAGTGTGTGTTTGAGAGCATATACTTAATTGGTTATGAAAATGTATAATTATGCTATAAATGAAATTACTGGCATTCTGGTTTATACACTAGTCTCTTAGGGTTTAGTCTGTTTGAGTTAGGCCCACTATGTCCTGGGTAAACTCATACATTTGTGTTTCTACACCCTCAGTCCAGGCACTGCTCCTTGTTCTGTAATCTGCAGGTGGATGATGTATATGGCTTGCTTATCTAATACAGTGTCTTGAGCGCTCGCTTTGGCAGCACATATACTAAAATTTGAATGATACATAAAAGATAAGATAAAAAGTCACATGAGATATATTGTAAGCTGGATCACAAGCTGCAAAAAACATTTCTTGAGGTTAACAAGCCTGGTGGAAAGGTATGAGTGGCCATGTCATGCTTACTCTGAAGTAATAGCTGGATTAAAGATCTAAAGATCAAAGGATGTACATGGAAATTGCAGCCAATGACAAATGGTTGGGTACTGCAAATATAACCAAATACAGATGGCTAATACAGATGGGCTCAGGGGAGGAAAAGGTTATAAATAAACACTTGATCATTTTTCTAAACCTATTGAAATTCTGCCCCGTGCTACCTGTTCCAGAGAGCCTTCTCTTACAGACCAGAGGGCTGAAATGCTCTCCCTGCTAACATTCCTTTGTGATTTATTAGGAGGATCACGCTTAAGGCCAGGAACAGAGGCTGCCTCAATCTGTAGTTATTTCTGGAGAAACCTTTAAAAAAAATAAACTAGATGTTCTTTAGTGATTAAACCAGTGTCTTTTATATCTTTGTAATGCTCATAGTTCCTTGTACACCTTAAAAATGTACATATACTCTATTTTGTATGTTTGAAAATTTTCATAATCAAAAAAATTTAAAGATTGCCTCACCAAAACCAGTTTAAAGTCAATATTAAAAAGGTATATATGCAATAGGATAGTCAAAATATTAAAAATTAATTAGAAAAAAAGGGAATCTAAAAATGGTGGTATGAGACCTCAACATTTTAAAATATAACTCCAAGTAACCAAGGTAACAAGGTAAATTATAAAATCCTTATTGTCAAATTATCTGAATTCTTCAGGAAACACTTTTTCCCAGATATTAAGTCCTAAATAATTTGTTATATAGATCTCTAAATGAGGAAATCTGAGTAATATACATGTCCCATATTCTTTCTGGTAGTTTTACAAAAGATTCTGTCATTTATCAACTATGTGATTATGGGTAAGTCACTTAACCTCTCTATGCCTTGTTTTCTTCATAGGTTAAATGGAATATATAGTATCTCCCCAGCATCATGTGGTTGTTGTAAGAATGGCATGTAATAACTTACATGAATGAATTATCCAAATATAAAGTAGCACTCTTGTATTCCTATAGGAAACTTATAGTGCTTCCTATTTGCCAGGCACTGTTTTAAGTAATTTCCTTATCTATATATATAAAAGGCTGATATGCAAAGTGTCCCCATGGGAGTTTGACCGGGAGACCTGATGTTCTATCGCTTCTGTGATGTGTGACCACGAGGGGGCGGCGCAGAACAAAGGAAGGCCCCAGCTGGAAGTTGGCAGCTGGAGAAGGGAGGCCGTGGCTGGCAGCCGGAAAGCCCCAATCGGTCCTGATCACTGGCCAGGCCTAGGGATCCTACTTGTGCACAAATTTTTGTGCACCAAACCTCTGGTTCTCATATAAGGAATAATGATTTCACATCAACTTTTGAGGTGGATACTATTATCTCCATTTTTCAGATGATAAAACTGAGGGCCAGAAAGAGGGAGTAATAATCCAAGATCAAATGCCTAGGAAGTAGGGGAGCCAGGCTTCTAATCTAATCATCATGGCTTTAATAGCCAGGCTCTTAGTCATTACACCTGCTGCTTCTCTCTGGAACTACTAAGGTTTCACTGTGTGGTATGCTGTAGTGAGAACAGTACTCAGTACAGAAATGTGTCACCAGAGCAAGTACAGCCAGCTGCTAAGAGGTTCACCAAGGTGTCATGTACTTCAGTGACTTCCTCAGCCTTGGCTCCCCAGTCCAGCAAGCATAGAAACCCAATTCTACCAGCCCACTAACACTAGCTCCATTTATCAGGGGCAGAGCTCATCAACCAGCTCAAATAGACTGATATGTAAACCCAAAGGCCCATTTTTAAATGAACAGTGAGAAGTGCAAAGTCACACAGCAAAGAGTATTTGGGCTGATAAATGAATGCACTCTTTCTCCGTAGCAAGTACTTGGGAAGCCAATTAATGATCCGAAGGTTGCTGGGCAAACATAGAATTCAGAGAGCTAATTGGATACTCTTCAACAGAGTCACCTGCCACAGGACCCAAGTATAGATATTTCTGCTAAAAAATAATAAACACATTCTTGAAAATCTCACTTTCTGAAAAATCATGCACTAAAAGCAACAGTGGTTATGGGGGAAAATGAGCTGGGGCAAATGACTCAAAACCTATGCAACTTTTCAACACTAGCAGAAATAATAATTGGTACTTGAGATAACTTGGATAGTCCAGACAGGTAGGTAATCATGACTGGAGGCTGCCTCAGGGGATAATAAAAATGCCCAAAAGCAACCGTGTAAATGCAGGTTTGCAGGTGCCGAGATTATACAAATAAGGGCGGCACCCTGAGCCAGGGAAGTTGTCATTAGGTTGAGCACAGGAGGAAGTGCAACCTGCTACTCCTCTCTTAGGGAACAGCCCTGGTTGCCGTCTGAAAAGGATCCTGCCTAAACAGCAGCCACGATAAAGGCTTTTTCCTTTCCTTCAATCCCAATATTCTAGCTCCTTTGATTAGGAAAAATCATGAATCAACACAACTTCCACATTATACTGACAACATTCTCCTATTTGCCAATCATATGTGCGGTATTGCAGCAGAAAAGACAAATGCCCTTTTTTTAAGAAGAGTGCTTAGATCAGTGGTTCTCAACTGGGGGCCATTTTGCTCCCTCTCTACCTGCCCCAGGAGACATTTGACAATGTTGACATTTTTGGTTGTCATAACTGGGGAGAAAAGAGGATTGCTATTGGCCAGAGGATGCTGCTAAACATCCTCAATGCACAGGACAGCTTCTCACACTAAGAAGTATCCTGCCCCCAGTGTCAATAGTGCCAAGGGACAAAAATCTTGGCTTCGATAGATGCTGTGCTCCTTGGCGCCTTGCTCTCCCCTTTTCCATCTCCAAGCAAGAAATGTCCCTGTTTTCAATCATAGTCTAAATGGGTGCAGTTTGATGCTCCCTAATTTATAATCATGTTCTTATTCTCCCTCCCTGAGGTACAGGTGACTTAGATGGGAGATTTAAGAATTCCCAAACTTTCTTGTCACATCACTCATTTTCAGTGTTGGTTTCCTTCCTAGAGAGTTAATCACACTCATTTGATAAGGATTACTAAGGAAGCTTGGAGAACAAGCTCAGAGATTTCCTAACAGTGTCTCTTGCTCCCAACAACAAGATTCTTCTGTGTTTAAATTACCAGAGTGGTTGGATACCAGGCCTCTCAACAGCATAATTCGATTGTCTGGTGTTTTAATTTAAAGAGATGGGAGACAAAATTCTGTTCTCACCACTTTACCAGCTGTGTGACTTTAGACAAGAGATTTAACCCATTGGACACTTGGTTTCTTTTTTTTTTCTTTTTTTTTTTTGTAAATAGGGATAACAGTTCCTGATTTACAGGACAGTTGGAATGATAAAATATAGTGTGTGAACGTGCTCTTGGCACATAGCATTTGCTGGATAAGTATCAGCTCTTTGCCCAGCTGGTGGATTGAGCATCGTCCCATGCTCCAAGAGGTCACTGGTTTGATTCCCAGTCAGGACACATGCCCGGGGTTGGGAGCTCAATCCCCAATAGGGGACATGCAGGAGGCAGCTGATTGATGTTTCTCTCTCATTGATGTTTCTACCTCCCTCTTCCTTTCCCTCTCTATCTAAAAATCAATAAAAACGTATTTAAAAAAAAAACATAACAGCTCCTTTTTCCCTTGTAAGGATACCATACCCAAACTGCCATTGTGAAGTTTGCTTTTCTTGTGCTTCAGCTTTTCTTTTCCTGAGCTGCTCTCTGTTTCGCAAACTCCAAGTTCCAATCACTTCTGTAAGATCAAAATGAAAGTTATAGGAGATACCAACAAATTCTGACATTTATCAACAAGAGTCCTATAGCAAAGGACTCTATGCTGGGTGTCTACCTTCTCTCCTAGCTTTTTGAGGACGAGGACTCTACCTTATTTATCCTCGTACTTCCAAAGAATGTCTAGGAGCAAACAGTAAACCTTTTAAAATGAACAGGTCAGTTT